GACACGACCCGCAGGTCAGTCTACACCGAACGTATGAAGAGGAATGACGACATCACAAACCACCTCATACGTTCATACGTGCGCCACATTGGGAGTGGAGAAGGTCACTAACCTGCACACTTCATCCACCACCGATGAAGTACATGGGCCCTAGGCGAGGCAACAGCAAGCACCGTGTCCTCGCTGTGTCATTCTCCAACAGCACAAACCTCATGCCAGACATGCTGAAGGGGAGAGCTCAGAGGAGAAAACAAATCGCGCCATGGAGTGGACCATGCCTCCCCGATTAGGAGGGAGCGCCACCAATTGCAATTCACCATCGCGTGTATCCCTTGCAGGTCAGCGCGAGCAACAGAAGTGAAAGCAACATGTTTGCGCCAAACAAGCAGAAGTTCGTCAACACAATGGCGGTCACCGTGGTGAGATGGAAGAGAAATTGGCAAGGCGAGAGAAGTGGGAGGAGGAGGAGGCAGGAATGAAGGAAAGGTGATGAGCTCACTTTTCCCATTAATGAAAACATAAGGATGCACCACGTAGGGAGGTTGGCAGTGGCAGTGGAAGAGGCAAACATAGAACGGCAATTCCACTACCACAACCACAGACACCACCTACACTCACTCCATCTTCTACCCCAACACGTGGTTCCGATGCAGGCAAGAAGTTGAGCGCTCGCTCTCCTCCCTCATGTAGGTGACAAGTTAGGTGCTTTCACTCTCATTCCATCCGGTCGAGGTAAAAGGCAGGTCACAGATTGAAGCTGCAAAGCAGAAGCATAGCCTTGCAGACGGTAGGTGGACAGTGCAACAACCACTTAGGTGCATCCAAACACTCGAAACAAGGCTCACAGTGAGACTGTGACATTCACTGACCCAACCGAAGATGGACAGCTAAAGCACTGCTGGCCCCTCAGTAGAGGGGCATGGAGGTGATGACACTCCTCGCCTCTTGTTGTTTGTTCACCGTCAGTGGGTGACAGTGTGCTCCACCGCATCGATGTCGGCTTTCCAATAGCGTGCACAGGAGAGGCAGATCTACTGGCACCCTCTTTACCCTCCACTCTACATGAGACGTACAACGAGCACGCACAATCACAGCCACAGACAAGAAGGTGCAACTCCAACCCACACAACTCGCCCTTCCAAACACACACACTTTACCTCACATCGTCTCTGTCTGTCAAGATGCGACCGGCCACGTGCCACCACACCCACTCGTACATCCACCTCGTTGCAGTTGCGGAACAGCAGCATTTGTCGTCCCCGATGACACCACAACCGCAGGCATAGCACAATTTTCTTTGTCCAGAGGATTAGCCACCACTGACATCCAGAGAGGCTGCACTGCGTGCGAACCACCAACGTTCATTCGCCTGCATTTCAGGGCACCGTCAGTTGCACGCAGCGTGAATCATGTCAAACAATGTTGCATCCTAGTCACCAACGCCTACCCCCCTCCAGCCCACCAGCGCATTTGAGATCAAAACAATGACAATGAGCGAATGTGATAACGCATAGCATGTCCATGGTGTGAACGCAGTCAGATGGTTTGACATAAAACAACAAAATTAAAATTTATTTGAAGATGAGAGAAGCACAATTTGCCAATGTAAGCCAATGCGCACATAGCCTGGAATTAACAATTCGCAACAATAAGAGGCAAGTAGAAGAGAGGACAGCAAAGTGTGGAACACCACAGAGATGACGAGAAGGGGATCGCGTAAGCGATCTAATAAGCAGCAGCAAAGTCCTTTCCTTTCTGAATGCTCTTGCGCAGTTCTGGCATCGCCTTCTTCAGCAACTCAATCTCATACTCATTCAGCTTCCCCGCACCAAACACCCTCTCCACACCGTTTGGCTGCAAATTAAACAACGTGCTCAGTGAGCACATTACATATTCGCACCACTCCTCCCTATTTGCTCTCTCTCCCTCCCTCTCATCACGCCTCTCGCCCTACTCACGCACACACGTACACACATTTCACCAGTCCCACCAAATGCAACACCAACCAACTATCAATACCACCCGTCATTCTTTGACGGGGACATTCGTAGTCTAGACCCATCTAATCATCCAGTCACCCACTTATCCACCACTACCCACCACTCATTCACTCACTCCCTCACTCGCCCGCTCACTTACCCCGAGAAGTACAGGTGAGGCGAAGAACTCCGTCTCCGCCACGTCGCACTCCACAAATGCGCACTCCACGATGTCAGCGTGCCCCTTCATTGCGTGCAATAGAGAGTTGGCGAATCGTGCCCCCGAGTAGGCCATCGATAGGGTTGCCGAGCCCTGCAAAACACATCACACTCCACCATTCAATGAGGCAACGCCAACACTCCTCCTCCTCCTTCCCTTTCCTCCATTCAAGTAATCTCACTCTCGAGGCCCAACATGGACTTTACCAGTAGCAGCGACTACCCTCCTCCTCCTCCTCCTCGGCTCTTCC